CCACTCTCTCCTCCTCAGTTACCTCTAAGTCGTCATCTGTTTGACAATCATCACTAGTCAAGTCTTCTCCACTGTCTCCCCCCCTACGGGGCTCTAAGCTTATCAGTTTGGCTGTCAAAACAGCTCTAAAAGAAAAACAAAATCATATACAATACTGAAAATAAAATTTTGTCTACAACTCTGAAGTCCACCACTACCAAAATTTGCGAAAACTTGATAATCAGTGTATCGAACCTACCCCAACCACTTCCCTCCTCCAGTAAATCGTTTACGTCCTAAAATTATATGTGACCTCCCCGTTCGAAGTAGCGCCAAACAGCACTCCACTGAGTTTTTATTACTCTCATTATTCAGTTGTTTCTAGTGCGAAGTAAGGATACTGGAGACAACTTACATTTTGATCACCGATGAAAGTAAAAGGGCGTGCCGATTGCTTATCACGTAGCAAGTGATTTACAAGTAGCAGAATGTTTGATAAGCTCCCTTGATTTTTTTTTGTTGTAAGGAGCGGTATTGTGAGTGGTCTGTCTTACTCAAGAACATAAAACAGCGACGCCACTGGGGCTTGAACCTGGGGCTCTGAATCCCGAGTCCAGCGCGTTAAGTCATGTTATTACGTCTCACACGTTTCTGCGTACATTAAAGAGATAATGATCTCACCTCTGTTCTCGAAGTTCATCTAACTGCTGCGTGAGAAGACGCTTTTCCTCTTCTTCGCCTTCTAGATCGTTCTCTACCAAACCCTCATCCTGTGATCAGAGAAGCGTATCAGTGGGCGTAAAAGTCAATCAATGATCTTCTTTGAAAGAATCGAAACCAACTGTTTGACACGCTGACGTGTTTGACATGCTGACGTCCTACGCTGATCTCGCAACAAGTACAGTATACAAGAGGGAAATTCGCATAAAAAGCTGAGCAACATAACAAGCAGTCACGCAGCAGTCAAAACAACACACTAGAGACATGTCACACAACATTCAGACTCACGGAACAGGTACACTCGCGCAATAGTCAGCATAACATTACGGGTTGCAGTCACAATATCATAAAATCCAAGGCAACACAGCGTTACCGTAACATTACGGGTACGTTCAAACAACAGTCACAGTAACCCAACAGGCAAAGCCACAAAATAGTCGTCACAACATGAACGGCATAGTCACAGTATAATAACGACAACGTGACAGGCATGGTCACACAACGGCTATAGCAACATCATCGTCGCGACCCTCGACGTGGTTTTCTAACTACAAAGTAACGACACATGAAATCCAAACGATTGTTGAGTTACCTCTCCTTCATTAACGTTCAACATGGACAAGCGTTTGTGAGCAGATTCTGACGCGTTATCAATTTCCCGGATGTTGTTGATTGTCGCTCGGATCTTGGATAACTGACCAAGAATCAGGGTTTCAAGACATCTAACAAATTGGAAATCAAATGTTATAATTAAAGAGATCGCAAAACATACTCAAAACGAGAAACCGCTGTGAATGGGAAGGTTTCAAAACCTCTGGATTGTAATTTTACCTGAGTATGTGAATCTCACCAGAACGTGGACACTTACTTGGTCTGTTTACTAACGTCTTGCATGATTTCCAACGCGCTCATTCCGGGGGGTGTGGCCATAGTACACTGTGCCCAAATTATTGCCAAGGCATTTGCATTCATAAGGTTCACCTCCTGTTGTTGTGTTATTCTACAAGACAAAAAGAAGGAAATTTATTTGGTAAATTTATTTTACTCACCATAAGTTGGGTGAAATCGTGCGATTATTTCACGTTGGTGTTAAGTTTGGCCCAAACTTCAAAAACATACTCAGTGGCGGATCCAGACCTTAAGCTAAGGGGAGGAGAGACGAGGCGGGCGGGCCCCCCAAGCCCCTTCCCTAGATCCGCCACTGACATATAAACTCAAGAAACTTCAGTTAACCGCAACGCCTCAGACGCTGTTTTTCTATCAAATTGGCGGAAAGCTAAATCAGTACTCCAATTTAAAGTAGTATTTACAAATAGTTTAACGATCTTACCTGGCAAGATGAAAAACAAGTCTCTCCAGAGTGTTTCGACAGGCCCGAGGTAACTTTTGTACCAGATTGTAAAGAGCTTGCAGACGTAACTTTTCATCGGTTAGTTCTGCGACAAAATAATGCAAAGCAGTGAGACAAATTTGTTTGTGTACCTATCTTTGACCGCAGCAGGCGGTGGTTTAAATCACAGCTGCAGCAACAAAACTAGCCAAATCAAATTGATCGTCGATTAGAATCTGGCCACGGAAGCAACACAACACGAGACAACCGTATAGAGGGCATAACAACAGATGATATGCGTGAACTGACCTGAAGTGCGTATGAAATCCGTGTAAAAATCAGCAGCAATGACGGGAACAGCCAGCTGCCTGAAGAACAGCTTCAAAACGCCAGCTACGACATGTACAGTGTACTCATCTAATGACACATTTTCAATTCCTGCAAACAAAAGCCGTCTTTAATAAGCTGTATACCAATACAGGTAAGTAGGAAAGTCTTTCAAGCGTGGTGGATTACTGCCCAAATTAAACAACGTTTCCTCAGGCTAGGGTTACAATTGGGAGTATTTCTTCTCCCCGTGGACGGAAAGGATGACAATCTCAGTCTACCATTTGCTCTCACGAAGGGCTGACGCTCGAAATACCAGCTTTAAGAACTCTCTACGGTGGCTAAGTTACATAAATAACTCAGTGGATGAAACCAAATGATATAGAGGATATTACACGGTAGCGACAAGATATGAAATTTATGTTCGAGTGGCAAGGGCAATAAATAACTCAAGAGTGGGACATTATTCGTGCCGCGAGAACAGAAAATTCATATCTTTCAGTTAACGCGCATTTTCTTTTTACTATAAAAACAATAAATGTACATAGAAGAGACTGAAAAGTGGTTCGTGTTGTTTACTCCAGGTTGGAAAGACACAGCACGAAAACAACACGGCCTAGGCACTAACCCAGACCTAACGTTCCGGAGTCCAATGCTCTAACCATAAGACCAACCAAACTGTCTCATAAAGAGACGAGGGGATTAAAACTGTCACTCTTTCATCTTCCGCGAAGTGGTTGAGACCCTGTTTGCGTTACGGTTTCTAAGCAACGTGACGTAGATTATCGTTCATGACGTCACTATAGCGCAGCATAGTTACCTGGCAAAGCTGGCCACATTGGAATTGAAATATGTAAAACATATATCTAGAATATGTAGCAATCAGTAAAATCACCACTCACCCAAGGTACAAATGTCGTTCTTAAGCTTTTTTACTGCAACATTGCTCGGTGACTTTCTATAGAGGCCCTCACTGTATAAACCTTTGTATTCAGGGAAAAAGAATAAATAAATGTACAAGAATATAGACAGAAGAATATAATATAAATATAAATAAATAAATAAATGAGCATATAAAGGAAAAATGCATTAGCCTTCATTGCAGTCAAACAAAGCTCTTCCTCTGTCCTCACCGCCACTTTCTCTGATTTCAAGAAGTAATTTAAGTACCAAATGAACGATTCGATGATACGTCCGTTAACCATTCATCCTTGGTCTGGAACCAACTTTTCCTTCGTCAGCACTCGTACCGCAGCTACAGTTATTAATGCTTTATTTATTTATTTTCTTTTTTTAATCTACTTCAAAGAATTGTTAGTAGGTAACGACAATAACCAAGTTACTCACCTCTGGCTTCAATATCTTGAATGAGTTTGTCTACTAATGGTGGTACAGAGTTTTCATTTGATACAAGGTCTGATAGATCACCGCCGAACAGTTCCGTCTGAAAGAGACAATAAACTCACATTCAATAAAGCACAAGAAAATAACAGAGCTAAACTTGAGTTACCACCTGCAATTCTGTAATTCTGAATTCCAAAACACCTTCATAAAGTGATAGGGCCGGTTTTACACGAGGTCTATTCCAAACCGCTGTTTTACGAAAGAATGGGCCTCAGCGGTTCTCTGTGAGAAGGTTAAATTAATTAAATAGATGTCCTTCCATAAATAGCCTTCAGCCTTCTTGACACTGTGCACAAAAATAAATGTTCAGATAGAAAGTTCGGCTGAATCGAAGATGGATTAGAACGCGGTTTTGTTAAACAACTGCTAAACTAGTTCAAATAACCGGCCCAAAGAGGTCACCTTGGTATAAGGGCACCTTACCTTTCCTTTAGATCTATTCGTTCCCTTCCGACAAATGTTCTGAGACTTGGTGTGACACTTTTTGTGACAAGTGAATCTGCACTCTACGGGAGATGATGCAAAAGAAGTTACGAAGATCGACACTTTCAAATGAAATCCGATATTTCTACCATGTCGCTTTTTGCGACACATTACAAAGAATGGGTACCCAGAGTCTACGCGACCTACATCATTTGGATAGTTTCCTGCTTGTACAACAGATGATAACCAGACGGAAAGGAACAAAAACAGTTACATAGATCCATAGATCCGTCACTAACTCGTCGCCCAATAGTCTCGCATTTACTTACTTTGTTACATTTTGTGTAAAACGCCCACTGGATTCCCTCCTTTATAGACTATCTTGCAGTGCTCTCAATCAACAAAATACTGAATACATGGACACTTAGCAAGTCATTTTCGTATTCTTTTGCGTATCAAAAATGTGCAAAAAAAGCTGACTAGTCGATCGTCAATTTAAAGTAACATAGCTACAAAGACAAAATATTGGGCAGTGCTTTTAATGACAAATCTGAAACAATCATCAAAATTAACAAAGTAGGTGTGGTACCTTGGCAGACGAATCCTTTGTCCAATCCCCATATAAACCCTCCGCACTGCTCACAAAATGTTGGTATACTGAATTGAGTGGTAGAGAATCTATGACCATTGAACTCCTGCAATAAAAAAGAGACATTATTTATCAAAACATGTGGAACAAAACTAGAATGAAAGCAATAGTTACCAAGCTTACTATCTTCCTCCAAAATCGTGAGGTGAAGTGTCTAGTTTTTAATGTCAAGGAGACAGTACTTGGAGCGACATTTTCTCGTTCAAATGTCGCTAGGGAAGATATTCAACGGAAAAGAATCTATTGTTAATACGTGACTGGACTCGGAACGAACATGGGGACGACTATACAGTTCAGCTCAGTCCTATATTTCAGACAATCGCAACCGATTCGACTCTAACGTGCAGGTTTTAATTGAACCATGTGGCGTACTAAAGGCGAAAAAAATTGAGGAAATCAATCGTCCATATTCAGTAAAGAGCCGTTCAATGAGAAATTTGGGGCGAGATTGGTTACGAGGTAGCAATGGATTCGAAACTATATTGTTGAAAAGACTACATCGACGATAATCATACTGTAGTTGTATTAAAACAAAGCTATTTCATTGAAAAAAATTAATTAAACTCGGAGTCTTCAAACGATGCAAGAGCAGACGGAACGATACAATAAACGCTGAACAATAAATGAAATCAAGATAAATGAAAAAGGCAAATCAGAACGAGCTTTTTCGACAAAACAGGGTGTCAAGAACATCATTATATGCCATAATCAAACTAAACTTCAAAGCAAAACAAGATTGTTTAAAACAAAAACAAAAAAACAGATTAATTTGATTGCCCGCACAAATTGGAAATGTAACAACAGTCTAAAGATCACCGATCGGCGCTAATTTTCATTACATTTCATTAGCGCAATTAATTAGCGACAAGCATACCGAAATAGTTTCTACGCTTGATGTACGACTCCGTAATCCTATACTAGACCACCTTCTCAGCCTGGTAGTGGGCTGGTCGCTCGGTGAGGCAAACGCCATAAAAATTTGCGCTACATAGCACGGTGAAACGAAGATATGGCACAGGAATTACTTCACCTCTTTTCGAGTGCTGCTGATGAAAGCCTTACCGAAAAATTCTTATTGGCTGATTTAATATATGTACATAACTTAATGATAGGGCAATTTGAATTTTATTGCGCAATGGGGAATTGAGGGAACAACGCACGAAAGAAGTTGAGTCTTTCACTTCATAGTTTGCAAAGGAAGAACAAAGCGTATTAAGGATTAGTATTAAATAGTAATTATAAAATACAAAAAATAAAATTGGCTGGGAATACTGTTCATTTACTGTAAAATTTCCCAAGTCCTGACGAATCTTCAGCACTGCACGGAGACTAAAAAAAAACCTCCATCCCTGATATATTCTTATTTCTGTTCTTTTCCCCCAAGCAATACTTCAACGAAAAGATAACGCCATCAAAAGAACAATTTCTAACTAATCAAATCTGGCACAATTTTCGGTCCTTACTATCAAGATTGTTGGTTACTCGGGCTAATAATTATTCAAGGGTTTCCTTTCAATTAATTACATTTTAACGACAGAAGAAAGAGAAAAAAAAGACATTGATACGTGTCTTATTTACAATCCTCACCGTGAGCTCAGATGGTTTTCGCTTCTTCAAATGAGCTTTCTTTTGATGCTACGGAAAAGAAAAATGAGAAAAATCAAAATCAACGCCACGTTAATCCGAACTGGGTAACCTCGCACAACCCTCGCCACCGCCTTAGCGGCGTGATAATCTGTGAACTGTCCACTATCTACTTCCTTCTATTAGTTTTTTTTTTTACCCTGGTTTCCTTGGTCTGTTTTTCCGGTCGTGTTCTGTTCGGGAAAAAAAAAAACAAATTGAGTGAACCTGCTTAACGAAGTTGGAAAAGAGCATAAACCTTATGGAATCGACATGGGCCACAGTATAAGAAGGCAGTAACATCATATCTCAATTCAATACTAAATTTTTTAAATCAAAAGACTAGTTAGCAAGTTAGCATGCTTACAAGCCATCCGTTTCCTAACGTCGTTCCCATACCCTTTTTAATCAGCTTCGTTTGTATTTCCTTTCCTTCTAAGCTTTCTTTAGGTGCAATTTGTCTCTCAGCCTTGTTTAGAGGTCACAAGTTACTAAGCCTCGTTTGGATGTCACAAGCTACTACGCCTTATAAACTTTATAGTATAACCGCTTTGTTTCTATGCCTTCAAACAAGTGACTAACAGTTATAACGAGTGCTATGACTGGTTATAGAATGACAGACGAGAAAGTCAATCACCTTGACGCGATGAACTCGGACAGCACCCCTCCGAAAGCGTTCACACCCAGAATTGCAGGAAAACTGGCACTGATGCGTTCGCTTTTGATCGTCTTTGTCAGAGTGAATTCAAACTGACCCATCAAGTCTTCATAATTCAGAGTTAACGATTTGTCTTCCTAGAAAAGAAAAAGCCACATACAGTTGTAAAACTGAATATTTCGTTGACTAAATAGCGGAAAGGTATCTAACGAAAAATGAATTAAGTATTACTATGCCACGCTTGATATACCTTCATGAGAACGGAGTACGATGAAATGAGTTGCACGTGAAATTCTTGAAGAGCTTTTCTAAACACGCGGTCAACGATTGTATCACGTTTATTTTCTTCTTTATTCAAACTTGACACCTAGAAAAATAAAAAAGAAGGCAAATAATCTCCATGAAAAAGCAGAATATACTGAAATCCGATTAACTATGCCTGTATGCCTTTTCTTTCTGTCTATTTGTCTGTAAAAATATCTCTGTGTGTACGTATTTTTCTGTCGTTCGCGTTGTTTGTATCTGTCTGTCTGTCGGTCGGTCTGCCAGTCTGTCTATTAGCTGAGGAGAGATTGGTACCTTATTCATAAGGAAAACCTCCAGCGCACCCAATTCTTCAGTACCCTGGATGAGCTTCTGGCCGGTATTTTTCCACTGGGCGGGTCCCTGAGGGTGAGCATAGCTGACTATCTTTGTTTGATTCAAGGCCTTGGTCAGGTCTGCAATAAATGATAAAATTAAAGAAAAAAAAAGGTTTTATGTACACGACTTTTTAAAAACTGCCAGCTAGGTTACTAAGCTACTGTATATATATTGAGTGTTCCATGTCGTTCCTGAACTAATTACGAACACTGACAAAGACTACACCAAAGCATCAGAACCCTTCCACTCCACTCAACACACATTCTCCTCACCGTCTGCCGTACCCCTCTTATAACTTTATCTCCCGAGAATTTATAATGAAAATTGAACTGAGTGGAGTGCAGTTTGGTCTGAAATCATACGCGTGATTTTAAAATCACCAAGTTTAATTACCAATTTGCAACGTCAATTTTCAAATCGCAAATTCAGTAACTAAAACTCAGGATTTTAAGTCCGTACAAATATTTTTTTGATATAGTACTGAGCTATTTGTAAAAAATTTACAAAATTCCAATTTCATTTCTCAGCAATTTGATTGGTTTCTCTGATACCTAATCGGTTGTTGTGTTTTAGTAAAGCTTTCTTACTGGCTGAGGAAAAGATGCGATTTAAACCAAAGAATGATGCGATTCGTGAACAACTCGCACCGATGAGAGTAAACCAGATTGTAAGGATCACCAGCGATATCAAAATGGATGTAATTAAGTATTAAATCAAACAAAGTTGGTTGGCTGATGTTTTCCTGTCTTCCCATCACCCTTTCTCAACAACTCTTGAGGGTGAAAGGGTGAAGCGAACACAAAATCATCCCAAAAATTTAAACGCCCTCTTTCTTGATTCAACGATTTAACACTCCTCGAACAGAGAGCAACCTATACTTAATTGCGATAGTACATTCTACTGTGAATAGCGTTGAAGTCGCGTTCTGATTGGCTAACCAAACTCAGAATATACTTTTTTATTCACCTCAGAACACCTTGCGCGAGATTTGCTTCCTCAAATATTGTAATTAACGTAGGATTAACTGAGTAAAATCATCTTCTTGTGCTATGCTATCTCACTGGTTTTTAAAAATATACTTCTGCAACTATTCACCACAACGTCGATGACAAGCGGTGGATATTTACCTCGACGCTAGAGGTAAATATCCACCACTAGCCACCTCCATTTCCGTGAATAGTTGTTAATTATACTATACAGGTAGTGACCAATCGAACATACATCATGAATAACTTAAATATCGAAAGGATAAACTTAAGAAAAAGCTGCTCTAACCATCATGTGATCCTATCCTTCCATCCATCTCCATAGATTTCTTTGATTTGTTTCTGTTCAAACTAGTATCTGACTTTCTCCTGAATGAGTTGTTGCGCGCGATCTTGCGAAGAATCCCTTTCTTGACCTTACCACCATGCTCAGTACGACCGAGAGTGGCGACAAAATCGGCTTTCTCCGTAGTCTTCCCAACTGCCGAATCATCCTGGAATAACGGAGGAGAAGTGGTTCTTCCTCGATCATCCAGAACGTCGGAGGTGCTATACCGATGTCCGGTCTTCCCCTTGGAGGACAGGCGCCTTCGGAAACTGCGGGTGAGTTTTCGTGACAATTTCGCGTTTGACTTGAATTCATCGTTCCCTTCGTTTCCTTTATTAAAGGCAAGTGTCGGTGACGGAATAGGACTCAGCTTGGACAAAAAGGGCTCCACCCGTTTGGCGGGCGGTGGAGAAAGTTCCAGCGGCGGTGGACGACTCCGCCGTTTGGATTCAGGGCTGTTTGGTGCCGAGCAGGACCTCTGGCGGACAACCTAAGATAAATAAGGATAACATTATTATCACTATAGTAATACAAAAATTATTCTCAAAATAAGAGCAGAGTTGCATGAATCCCTACTCTTTCTTGGAAACATCCGAGGAAGATTTTTGATTGAACACCAAATTTTCAAAATTAAAAATTGCACAAAATGTTCGCTAAAAAGTTGGGTGAACATACAAAGAGAGATCAGGAGTGAAAATCAAAGAACACCAAATTGCCTTGCATACCGGGCACTTTGATCCATCTGGTGGCGAGGTGCCGCTAAGTATCTCAGATACTTCCTTCACCCTGGGGAGAGAAATTGCAATTTCGCTCAGAATATCACTAGCTGTATTACGGCTTATGCAGATTACAATTTAATCAAAATAATCAAAGTTACCATTTACAACCCTTATCGGTGTTGTCAATTGTTTATCATATACTATATCCTTGAGATTCCTCTTTTGCTGCTAAACTATTTTCACAACGCCTTACAAAACAAAAAGTACATACACTATCGTAGTACTTTCCACTAAAATCTTTAAGCAGATGAAGCTCAAACACGTTTTAAGAAATTGAAATTTTTAATTCCACAGGACCCGTAGTATGATCCTATACGACAAATAGCTTAGGATAAAGCTAAAGAAACTGTGGTGCTGCGTCGGCAGGGGGTTTTACAAGATAATTTGGTTTTAATAAATGAGTTATTACTGCAACTTGGCCACAATAAAGAGTTTCTGAAGCTGACGATTCGACCGTTATCCCTTCGTCAGAGTGAAAGAAACGTTAGCTTTAGAAACTCTTCACGATGGACAATCAACATCATCAACTCAGTTAATAAAACAAAATGATCTTATCCGAGCAATAATAATAAGGTATAATAAGGCAAAGTATTCTTGTAAATAGGATATGAGAGAAGGTAAGTTTTGAGCTCGGTAGAGAAATAGAGAAGGATTTTTTCGTCTTGCTACGAGCGTGGGGCAAAGGAAAAATGAGGAATCGAGCCTCAGACCTTCCGATTCCGCGAAGAACATCGGAGCGCGGAATCCGAAGATCTGAGATTAGATTCCTCATGGAGACTCAAAAGTTTTTCTTTTTCCCACGCTCGCGACAAGACGGAAAACATCTTCCTCTAAATATTCTTACTTGGAAGAAATTCGTTGTCTAGGCGATCCTGGACTTTTAATTTCTTCGTAAATATGTGCAAATTCTTGCTTATCACTTTCAAGTGCATTGTATCCTTGAGGGTCACTAAGGGATCGATTCAAATGCCGAAGAGATTCCTGAAGACTGAAGAGCAAACGAAAGAGTGATAAGGTGAAGTCTGGTACGAAAACTATCGGTTGCTAGACAATTGATGAGCAATCTAAAGAAACTTTAGAGAAAAATCTTACGGAGATAAGGGCTTCATCTCGTGCTCTTCAAGTATTTGCGAATGCCTGGCGAGAGATAAATTAAAACGTGAAAAGTGTAATAAAGATGTTACGCGTAGAGTCTCTCTACGATAGCGGTCTGCTCTACATGAGGAAAATACTCAGCGTCATCCTTATATCAAGATGACGCTGTCAACAGAGCTAACCTTAACGGTGTGCAGCTCACGTGTCAGATATAAACCTGGTAACTGCTTAGCTCGCCAGAGTTTCTGAACCTCAGTGTTCGAGTACCGAATTTGAAGGTATGGGGTTCGATTCGTCAAGAGGGCAGTTTCCTTTGAGTGTTTCCTTCGCTCAGATGAAACATCTTTATCATTTCAATTACTCATCTCGAAGTTAAGCAAGTAATTCAAAGAATGTAAGGTAAATGTTTAACATCATTAGTCAAAAGAAGATGAATTTATGTTAGTTGTAGACTCATGGAGTGTAGCTTCTCGGGTATGACGAGTGTACCTCGCATGTTGCTTGAATTTTTTTGAAGGAGAACGAAAAGGAGTTGCATAGAATGAAACCGTGAGTGAGACAGAATTGGCGGTTATTTTAAGATCCTCTTAGGATCTCCGAAAATAGGCGTGATCTAAAAATAACTAAAGATGGATTGCTTCAGGAATGAAACCTTAAAAAAATTAAGTTTTTTTACGTGATTTTCTCGTGCAGTGATTTAACCTGCACCATTTAGCAAAAATGGGACCAGATCTTTGAAAGAAGTAAAAACAAAAGGTAAAAAAAGAAAAACGCGGAACGAGCAGTACGTTATCAGCCAGACTATGATTACAATTATTAATTGCTAAAATGCAATTAACCAATGTCACAAACCTTCTTCTCGCCAGGTATCCCCTTGCGTGACTTTGAAGCAATATAACTCTCTCACGAATGCGGTGATACTCACGCCGCGCCAAGTACATTCGCCAAAAGGACTGGATCCGAAGAGCAGCAAGAGACTGTTCCTCGAGGTAACTACGAGCTAAGTAACCACGCCAGCAGGCCTGAAGTGAAATCAAAATGTTCTATAAATGTCTCACTCAAAGAGACCCTAACTTTGCTTGAGACTAGTTTTACAATTACCATAAAAATTTTTAAAAAATTCCTCGAGAATATTTCTAGACACCGTCCCTCAATAAGGAAAGGTACCCTCAGATGTGTCCAATGGCTGTGTCTTGCCCTCAATTTTTTTTTAAGGGGGGAGAGGGGAGAAGAGGAGTTTTGACTCCCCTTGCATTCCGAACCAAATGTCCAAAGATCCATTGTCGACAGAGGAACTCCTCCATTCTCTGTCCTTACCTGTATCATGACGGCAGCATTTTTTTGGCGAATGAACTGCTTTCTCTGCAGAGCACCTTTGACCCATCGTTGTAACACACAGATTTTGTGGATCTGCTCCAAGTGCAGCCGAGATTGCAACAAGGCATGCTGACTATCTCGCAGAAACACCTGGGACAAAAGAGAAAAAAAACGAAAAAAATTTAAACTTGGTTCCTTGTGATACTTGTACATATTTTTGGAAGTTGATTTATTAGATACAAGCAGAAAAAATTAAATTAATCCAATTAATGAGCTTGATGATTGATTCATGGATTGACTGGTTAAATATTGGCGGTCTCGCATGGCTTATTCTAGTTATTCGCTTTTACACGAGTGTTTCTTCGCTGCGGGAAAGTGCAAGGCTTTCAGCACAGCGAGCTGGGAAGAAGTCTACAAAGAGTTTAGCACTCATTATTAGTGCCAGACCCGTCTCCAAACTTCCCGCTTGAAGAGAAACGCTCGTCCTGCAGCGTCTACGGGATCAACAACAGTCAACCAAGGAATGTATAAATCAATCGTCAGGTTCATTAATTGGATGAATCAATTTTTTGCTACTTTTATCTAATTAACAGCCACTTACTTTTTCTTTGCCTATCTGGAACTCACGAGGATCCAGTTTCAATGTTTCTAGAATACCCGGCATCTCTTCGCGCACATCTCTGACTTCCTTGCGCGGAAACAGTAAGCTGTACCGTTTCACAAATTCCTGAAGGAGAAAAAAATAGAGAAGAAACGTTTTGGACTTGTAATTCAAATTAGGTTTAACCATTGTTTAGTAAAGCAGCATTCTAAACCATCTTCAATTCTGCCAAATGCTTAAGCACAAGGTAAGTTTTGAAAAAAGTGTAAAGAGGGTGTAGAGCTCCCAAGGAAAAAAAACAAAACAAACCACCAAGAAGGAAATGGCGAAGGGCACTGGTTTCCTACAACCTTCGCCTACGTTTGACTACGTTTAAAGAATCAATCCTTTGCGCTATCCCCCTTTAACTCCAAGAGTCACTAACATCTGATGTCTTCTTGCAGTATCACTATTGAATTAAACATCATAAGATCATGAGATTGCATAAAAGAAATGATCGCCAACTAAAAAAATTCTTAACTGCTCAAGCATTAGCACTACAAGAAATGTGCGGACGACAATGTGGAGTGGTGGTTACAAAGTTTCAGCGAAATATAAGCTGCTAGAATGGAGGCAATTACAGGAAACTCACTTAACTCACTTAACTCATAATTACCGTTCTTTCTCTCGGCGTAATAGGAGCTAAAAAAGGTATGCTTAATCCTAAAGTTCCTCACGCGACGTTAAATATCAAGTTCAGTGCGTATAAATCTACTTCGTCCTCGACTGTAAATGTTGTACTGGGTTTGATGTAGCCCTTTTCGTGTTTATTAACCTCATTCTAGTAGTTACTTCGAAATTCAAGTTGAAACTTGCACGTCAAATGAGTTATTCAAAATATTGCTATGTAACTCCTGCAATGATTCTGCATTTCCGCCCTAAAGCATTGCTCAGAGGCCACAATTAAAAGGGAAAGTACAAACGTTATTGGGTGTGAAGAAGACACTGACATCAAAGATAAAAACAAGTGACAAATAGACTCTAACACGTTAATTGCAGAAAGTAAATACTGAGTGAGTGAAAAAATAATTCAGTCTGGCTTTAATGCTAATTGAACCGGCGCTTCTCTCAAAGCAGACGGGTCATTATCAACCAAACTACCAAATATGGCCTGTTTCATTAATTTTTTCCGACTTCGATATAACAACACTGTTCGAAGAGTGATAGCTTTGTCATCAACAGTTTCCAAATTGCACACCTTTTTTTTTTCATGCTGTCTACACTGTTGATGTTTGTTACTTTGGCAACTTATTTGTTTCCGTAGTTCAAAGTCTATTAGAATTGAACACCCTACCTAAACATAATCAAGATTAACACTTGTGCAGACATGAAGCTCATTAATTTCAAGGTCGGATATCTTTTCTGTCTAGCGACATCAAAATTGTTCACGTCAAGCCTTGATAATGGAAAGTGAATAAGAAAACCTTGTCGGTAACACAAAAAAGAAACATTTTGCCTTCAAGAAATAATTAATCGTCAGAAGGGAAAAAAAAAAGAGAACCTAATAACAAAATTTAACGTCACTTGACACGATTAAAGAGGCAATGAATATTGTTTGGGGCGACAAGCTGCTTTGACTTTTGCCCTTTATTATAGACGAATCTATGTATCACTCAACAGCATTAATATACGTATCAAATAATATAGCATGTGCAATTATCATTTTAAATTGTTTAGACTGAATACCAGTTGCAAACCGGATGGAAACCGGTCGGAAATACATATACAGGTCTGTCCTTCTCCAACGACGACTCCCTAGAACTGGATGGATCAAAGATTCGCACCAAACTTTAGAGAAAAAATCACGCGACAAAGCTTAGTCGAGGAAGTGATTCTTCATTATTACAGACAAAAGTATCCCTTCTAAAAAGTATTACATTAAATTCGACAGTAAAATATGTTTTATATATTTTGATCACTTGCGGTTTCCTCTGCTCTCGTAGGAAAAAACCTTTTTTTCTGACCACACTGTTCGATATTTTCGATAAAATAAAATGAATTATTTGACAAAGTTATCGGTAAAACCTTTCACCCGCTTCATGTACAGCTACATAATGCAATCAAACAAACGCGAATTAAAATAAAAAGTGCTGCAATACAAATGCATCATTTACGTTTTGACGGACTAAAGTCAATGACCGACGATAAAAGTCACCAAACAACGTCACAATCAAGTCATCGATCACGTCCTATAATCTGTGTTTGCGTGAAGCGACCGCGTTGTAGTCGTGCCAGCAAAAAAAACTATTAAAAATATCAGTTTTCAAATCAATTCTGTCTATTTTGGACGTCTCGAGAGCCCTAACCACAACAAAATATACACCAAAATAACAGACACGACATACAAATCGATGATTAATAGTTAAAATTAAACTCCACAATTGCCGGAAGTACCATCGAGAATTCTTCGTAGGGAATTGTTCGCAGTACGTGTGGCTGAAATAAATATAATTTCGTTTTTTACATGCGTGATCTTTCAAGGCCTAGCTGATATAAACTGAAGACAAAAATGATGAGATTAACTTTCAAACATGTTACCAAATAATCCAGATTAAAAATCTATCAGGGTCGTTCGAGGCTAATACTAATAATTGCTTAAGAGATGATAGGCGTTCTAAAGAATTTTGGTGTCTAAAGATTTACGACTGAAATCTATTTTTGTCTTGTAGTCAAGCAAAGACCGGATGAGTAAAAATTCGCCAAAAATGAAAGCCTTGTCTCAATGCTACAACATGGTCAAATATTGCTGTCATTTAATACGTAGCACACTGTTTTGAGTAGCACCTGTTGAAGGAAAATACTATTGTTGTCGAAAGAGGACATAAAATTCTCGAGTTTCGGCCAGTAAGACACGAATTACGGTGTACATCTTACCTTGATTAATAGAAACACAGTGAAGGCGAGGAGTAAAAGAATCTTTGAACCTCCAACACCGACTTTCCACGCAGAGGAAAACACACATTTCAAAACCATTGTTATGTTGTACATTCAATCACGACAACAAACCGAAAAACGAGTTTTCGCCTTCAGTAGAGCTCAAGCTTACCGCATCATACTCATGACTGGGCGATTTTTCCGCTTAAGCGAAAATAAAGGGTGTGACGAACAAAATTTCCACTGCCTAACTACGAGCGCCGGCAAATCCATGCCACTACTTTCCTTAATCTGACGCGTTTTTGCGACAGATCAAGACACTGTAATCAAGCCGGGAATTTTTCGTAGTATTATATTTTGCATATGATCCAAAATATCAAGTGACGCTTTTCCGATCACCTGCTGATCTCGAGCAAGCGATCAAGAAGGTTTGACCACGAGATATCCGGTTTAGTCATCAAGTCTGTAACGCAAGGTTGTTCGATAAAACTCCCGCTACTTTCTGCTTCAAACTTCCTCGTGAATCAATTAGAGAATTTGGCATTTCTATCAAGATAAAATCCTTTCAACCGATACGTATATCTACTTTCAACACCTGCGACCGTGACAATGTATTCAGACTGTAATGGGCAGATACATATAATAACTCCTGAAAATGAAAAGTGACATACAAGTTTCATTCTGTCAAAAGCCCCGCGAAGAATATCTACTCGAAAAAATTGCTACAAATCGTTGAAAAAAGGAAACTAAACCTAAACCAAACGAGGTCATATCTAAAATACTTTACGCGTTAGGTGGAAAAAAATTTTAAGAGTTAAAGACACTCCAAATAAACATTAGCACGCGAAGCAATCAACTAAGGCATTTGTACGAATCCTCAAAAATCGAAAATAAAATTGAAAGGGTAAACTATCAAAATTTGAACCCTTTTGCCACGTGAACCATTCCCAAGTATCTGAAATCTGCCAAAATGTTCCGTTAACGACAAAGTAAATTTACAGAAACGCCCGAAATCTTTGACCGAAAACTGCCAAGGCTCCTGAGTCGCGTGAAGTATGACTGCGTTGATATAAACTTCCATAAAAGACTGATTTCCGATTCTAAGTCTTATCCGTTCGGCTTCATCTCTTATGCTTCGACTTTATTTCACCAGCGTAAATCAAATGATCAGATTTTGATTATCTCGTTGGGCGATTAGGAGAGTACAACTACACTGATTTCCGTTTTAAACTCTTTTACAAAGCTTTACACACTAATCATGGTCTGCGGGTTTTTCTGCTCACTCTTTAAAGCTTTTGCTTGAATCCGTCTTGTCTGACAACAGCACGTTATGGTAACAATAACAACATCTACGACGGGGGATTACTAAGCTTTTCATACTTGGCAGTAATAACTCCTTCTCTGCAGGTTTAACGACACGAGACAGGGATTAAACCGCGAAGAACTCACGAAAGAGCGAGTTATCGAGAATGACTGGAAGTTAAAGGCTAACAGTTGACTATCACTGTTTATTAATGCCTAAAGAATAGTTGTGAATGATTAAGATATTTTAGCGGGTACACATGACTGTTTGAATGGACGAACTATGGCATTTAGCAGTTTATCCCGGCTACAAGATTAATGATGCCACGCAAACTATTCAAACAATCACCCAAACACCACTCAAATCAATCTTTAAAAAATGACCGCCTTAATAAAAAACTTGTCGCACAAGGAAAATTGTACAGATAAGGTAGAATTAGTCAATCGCGTTTGGTGACAAAGCGAAGAACCACCAGACGAAACTAGATAAATAGGTAATGTTCCGACTGACAAATCCAAAAACAACGACCCAAAGGGGTTAATGCCATTGAAACTATTCGTAAGCTGTAAGTATATCTTAAGTGTTTTGCTACCTTGAGCACTAATACAATAAAGGGAGTCAATTAACCAACAAGAAGCTATCCCTTGATAAAATGTTATATTTTTTAGCTCAAGAGGTTTTTTGGGATCTGTAATAGGATTTATTGCACACAGATGAGGATTATCCACGGCCTTGAGCTGAACATGGTTCG